GGCCCCGGGGATGCGAGGAGGATATGACCCGTCTCAGCTGAGCCGCAGGTGCTGACGAAATGCTTAGGGGTGGAAACAGTCATTTACTGACTGTGACCCTGGAGGATGTTGCGGGAGTGGGGAGAAAGGGACTTTAGGGGTGGGTGGAGCTAACCTGAGCAGAAAATTAAATTTTATGGTACATTTCTAATTTTCCGTGAGGGCATAAATGCGAGTATATTACTCAAGTTTTGAAAATTTATTATAAATTATTTAAAACACACAAAAACAGGGGCCGGCCCGGTGGCACAGCGGTTAAGTGTGCACATTCCGCTTCTGTGGCCCGGGGTTCGCCGGTTCGGATCCCGGGTGCAGACATGGTACCGCTTGGCACGCCATGCTGTGCTAGGCGTCCCACGTATAAAGTAGAGGAAGATGGGCATGGATGTTAGCTCAGGGCCAGTCTTCCTCAGCAAAAAGAGGAGGATTGGCAGCAGTTAGCTCAGGGCTAATCTTCCTCCAAAAAAAAAAAAACCACAAAAACAAATAAAAAATAAGCAGTGTCTCTCACCACTCAGCTGAAAGAAAAGAAGCATCCAAACAGTTGAAATCTCAGCAGCCACGTGCCTTCCCTCTCTCCTCCCCCGAGATTACTTCTACCCTGAACGGGATATTGGTAATTTTGCTACACGCACAGGCTCTGAATTTTTTGAGTCAAGTCTTTTCCCTTTTCTTTCCTTTTTCTTTTTTATTGAGGTCACATTCGTTTATAACATTATATAAATTTCAGGTGTGCATCATCATATTTCAACTTCTGGATAGACTACATTGCGTTCACCATCTAAAGTCTACCTGCCATCCGTCACCATACACATGTCCCACTTTACCCCATTCAGCCTCCCCCCACCCTCTTCCCCTCTGGTAATCACCAACCTGTTCTCTGTTCTCTATGTGTTTGTTTGTTATCATTATTATTATTTTATCTTCCATATGAGTGAAATCATATGGTGTTTGTCTTTCTCTGCCTGGCTTATTTCGCTTAGCATAACACCCTCAAGGTCCATCCATGTTGTCACAAATGGCAAGATTTCATCTTTTTTATGGCTGAATAGTATTCCATTGTGTATATGTACCACATCTTCTTCATCCATTCATCCCTTGATGGGCACTTGGGTTGCTTCCAAGTCTTGGCTATTGTGAATAACACTGCGATGAACACAGGGGTGCATGTGTCTTTTCAAGTTAGTGTTTTCTTGTTCTTTGGAAAAATACCCAGAAGTGAAATAGCTGAATCATATGGTAGCTCTATTCTCAACTTTTTGAGGAATCTCTATACTGTTTTCCATGGTGTCTGCACCAGTTTGCACTCCCACCAGCAGCGTAAGAGGGCTCTCTTTTCTCCACACCCTCTCCAACGTTTGTTATTTCTTGTCTTGTTGAATAACAGCCATTTCGATGGGCACGAAGTGATATCTCATTGTAGTTTTGATTTTCATTTCCCTAAATTAGTGACGTTGGACGTCTTTTCATGTGTCTGTTGGCCATCTGTATATCTTCTTTGGAGAAATGTCTGTTCAGATCCTCTTCCCATTTTCGAATCAGGTTGTTTGCTTTTTTGTTGTTGAGTGATGTGAGTTCTTTCTATATTTTGGTTATTAACCCCTTATCGGATACGTAATTTGAAATTATCTTCTCCCAATCAGTGGGTTGCTTTTTTGTTTTGTTGATGGTTTCTTTGGCTGTGCAGAAGATTTTTAGTTTGATGTAGTCCCATTTGTTTGTTTTTTCTTTTTTTTCCCTTGCCCGAGGAGACATGATATCCAAAAAGATGCTGCTAAGACCGATGTCAAAAGGCGTGCTGTGTATGTTTTCTTCTAGGAGTTTTATGGCTTCAGGTCTTACAGTCAAGTCTTTAATCCATTTTGAGTTAATTTTTGTGCATGGTGTGAGATAATGGTCTACTTTCATTCTTTTGCATGTGGCTGTCCAGTTTTCCTAACACCATTTATTCAAGAGACTGTCCTTTCTCCACTGTCCGTTCTTGGCTCCTTTGTTGAGTATTAGCTGTCTGTAACCCTTTGCCTTTTCTGCTTGGCTCTCTCTTCCCACTCTTTTCTCGCCGTGGACTCTCCCCATGCCCCCCAACCCCCGGAATTTCATATTAACCACTTTGGATATCTCTTCCTGTTATTGTCCAAACTCAGATAATCCTATACAGACATTTGATACTTATACATATGTATGTATACATATCAATACATATGTAGATATACACATATCTATATGTGTCATATGTATATCATATAGACATATCCATGTCATGTCTATATCATATAGGTATATAGGGTTTTTTTAATCTTCTAAAAATATGATATCAGCCACAGCTCTTTGTGTCTTGCTCTTCTCGCTTGACAGTGCCTCATGGAAATCCTCCAAGTCATATGACTCACACCTTTTGAAGTGTCACCCCTGGCATGGATGTACCCACATTTATTCAGCCGTGATCCTACTGAGGGAATTCACGCTGTTTCTTTCTCCCCCTCCCACTGTGAGCCATTCAGCCGTAAACATCCTGATGATGGGGGGGGGGGTGTTGCTTGTATTTCTACGTGCCTTGAAAAATTTCTAGTAAATGTTAAAAGCTTGGATGATATATCCCTTTAATGCATTTAAGGAAAATTCTAAAAGATATAATGAAATGGAATCGAAAGTTACAGTTAAAAATTAAAAGTAAGAGATAGTGAATTGGGGGCCCAGAGAGCAGCTTCCCTCACCTCCCCCGGTGTCATCTTCACCCAGGCGAGGCCCCCTCGACACCCCTCTCCCCTGCAACTCCAGGGAGCAGTCAGTTCAATCACCTCAGTACTTAAATGTCCAGAGGATGATTCTCAGGAGGTGGGGATGCGGGCTGAAGGGAATGTGTGCAGTTGTCATTTTTTTTTTCTTTGAGGAAGATCAGCCCTGAGCTAACTGCTGCCAATCCTCCTCTTTTTGCTGAGGAAGACTGGCCCTGAGCTAACATCCGTGCCCATCTTCCTCTACTTTATATGTGGGACGCCTACCACAGCATGGCTTCTGCCAAGCGGTGCCATGTCCACACCCGGGATCCAAACCGGCGAACCCCAGGCCACAGAGAAGTGGAACGTGCAAACTTAACCGCTACGCCACCGGGCCAGCCCCGAATGTGTGCATTTAATTCATTGATACATGATGTCAGATTGGCCTCAAGTGTTTCTTCTTGACTGCAGCCTTCTTGTGGGGAGCACCTGTTTCTCTCCGCAGGCTGAAACTGACTTCCCAGCCTCCTCTTCTGCTTACTTCTTTCAAGAAACAGCCCTGGCCTATCTCCCTGACCCTTTGCAGGCAAAAATTTGGGGTTCTTCCCAGTGCTGTGTTGAGCCTGTTGGAGTCCCATGCAAAAGGTCCTATCAACATGCTTCTATGGGGGCCTTTTTTGGGGTCTTTTTTGGTGAGGAAGATTGGCCCTGAGCTAACATCCATTGCCAATCTTCCTCTATTTTTTGTATGTGGTATGCCACCACAGCATGGCTTGATGAGCAGTGCTAGGTCCATACCAGGGATCCAAACCCATGAATCCTGGGCTGCCAAAGCGGAGCAGGTGAAGTTAACCACTACGCCACTGGGCTGGCCCTCTTTTTTTTAATGCCTATTTTTTTTCCAGAACACTAAATCAGTTGAAAAAAATATTGACAAATTATAAAAAGTGTATATTAAAACTCACATTATTTTGAGTTAAAATATTTTATTTATGGGGCTGGCCCCATGGCCAAGTGGTTAAGTTTGCGCGCTCCGCTGCAGGCGGCCCAGTGTTTCGTTGGTTCGAATCCTGGGCGCGGACATGGCACTGCTCATCAAACCACGCTGAGGCAGCGTCCCACATGCCACAACTAGAAGGACCCACAACGAAGAATATACAACTATGTACCGGGGGGCTTTGGGGAGAAAAAGGAAAAAAATAAAATCTTTAAAAAAAAAATATTTTATTTATACCAAAACAGAATTTATTATAATTTTATTTCAGTATGTTAATTAAAAATTCTTTAACATCATTATTTGGTCAGGAGAAACTGTCAGGCAGGAAAATACATTTCTCAATTGAGAATGCCATAAGCTAAGAATCAGATTCTGAAACCATTATCGATGAGTTTGTTTCTGTCAAAGCCCGGATGCACCAACATGGCTTGGCAGGATACTGGTCTTTATTTGAAATTTTGATATTTTGTTCATCAAAATCTCATGGATTTTTTTGCATGAACTTTGATTTTCCAAAAAGAATTGCATTAAAATGTCATTTATCTTGGTAACTCAGTCTTTTGGCACTCCCTTACATATTTTTTTTTTTTTTTTGAGGAAGATCAGCCCTGAGCTAACATCTGCCGCCAATCCTCCTCTTTTTGCTGAGGAAGACTGGCCCTGAGCTAACATCTGTGCCCATCTTCCTCTACTTTATATGTGGGACGCCTGCCACAGCATGGCTTACCAAGTGGTGCCATGTCCCCACCCGGGATCCGAACCGGTGAACCGCGGGCCACTGAAGCGGAATGTGCGCACTTAACCGCTGTGCCACCGGGCCGGCTTCTACACCCCCTTATATTTTACACCCAAGGCCAGGGCCTCACTTGTTGGTTCCAGTCCTCGCCCTAGTTCTGACCAAGTTGTGTCACTGAGGGTAGAAGGACACCTACCTCATCCCTGGTCCCCTCCCAGGACACCCCTAAAAGCTCCTCCATTCCCTCCCAGGTAAAGGTGTAAATCCTCACTGTGGTCCATCATGAGATCTGGGCCTGGGTCACCTCTCAGACCTCATCTCCTAGAAGTCCCTCCCTTAGCACTCTGCTCCAGCCACACTGGCCACCATGATTCTCCCCAGAGACACCAGGCTCAGTTCTGCCTCAGGCCCTTTGCACTGCCATGCCCTCTGCCTGGAATGCTCTTCCCGCTGATGTCCACATGGCTTGTTTCCATAATTCTGTTAAAAATAAACCCAAAGCAGCCAATCATTTTAACTGCAAAATGAGTTTATTAGGGGAAAACCAAAGAATTTCAATTCAGGACCTGCATGCTATGGCAAAAGCCATAGGCACGTCCAACAATCAAAAGAGAGAACCTTATTTCATAGGGAGAAAGGAGGAAATTGGGAAGGGATGTTTTGAATGAAAGTCCATTGGAGAAAAGCAAGAGTTCAAGGTGGTGATGGCTTCTCATTGGCTGAGTTCCTGGGGTAGTCGATTTCTCTTTGGGATGCAACGTACATTTCTTCTTGGGGTCTGTAGAAGATGATTCTTCCTAGTGACAACTGCTTTCCTTTGGGGTCTGTAATTGACTCTTTCCTGTAACTGACCTCCCGTGGTGCTTCGTGAGAGCTCCCCCTTCCAGTCTCCCCACTCCATTTTAAACTCGGTTTCCCTGGATTAATTTTCACGCTTCATTCAGATCTCTGCTGGAATAGAATGTCACTTTCTCAGACAGGCCTTCCGGACCACTCTATCAAAAACAGTACACTTCCTCCCCCGAATCACTTGGCTGTTTAGTGGCCTAAAATAACGATTTGTTATTTCTCACAAGTCTCTGGGTTGGCTGGGCTCAGCTGGATGGCTCTTCTACTCCCATGTGGTATTGGCTGCCTTCAGCTGGAGCTCAGCTGGGGCAGGAATGTCCTAGATGGCTTCAGGCTCACCTCCACGTGGCCTCTGTTTCTCCAGCAGGGTGGCACGACCTCTATGGCAGCTCAGGGCTCTGAGGAGGAGAAAGCAGAAGCTGCCCTCGGAAGGCCTGGGCTTGGAAGGCCCAGAACGTCACTTCTGCTGCAGTCTGTTGATCAAAGCAAGTCACGAGGCCAGCCCAGAAGCAAGGGGAGAGGATGATGTGAAGAGGGGCATGTGCCTCCAGAGATGGGAGAAATTGTTGGTGGCCACGGTTACAGGCAGTTCATTGACCCCCTCACCCATCTCTCACCCTTGCTGCCTTCTTTTTCCTCATCACTGTTTGACACTATCTTATTTTTGTTTATTATCTTTATCTTTCAAAAAATATAAGCTCCATGAGGGCCGTCTGTGTCTACTCTCCACGTGTCAGTGCCTAGAACCGTGCCGAGCACACAGGAGGCAGCCTATGTCTTTGAATGAATGAATGAAACCCTAGGGACTAATTTCAGGTTTCCCCGGGATTCTGGCGAATGGAGAGAAGGTGAAGCCACAGTGTGTAGATATTCCGAGGGAAGCGCTTGAGGATTTTTAAGAGACATGGAGAGAAAGGACAGGGAGGAAAGGGGGATTAGGAGTGGGCAGGAGAACTGGGGGGCAGAAGACGAGGCAGAGGACTGGGAGATTCATGAGGGCAGGATCGGGGACTGTCTTGGTCCCGACTCTATCTCCAGCCTCAACCAGCACAGGGCCTGGCACACAGCAGGTGGTCAGCAAGTGTGTGCTGAGTGGAGGAACCTTCTCTGACTCCCCTGCCGCCTCCCCTGCCTGCCACCGGGTCAGGCGCCCTCTTGGTCCACCCACCCCTCTGGGCAACTCCAACCCTACCTTACCCTGTGGGTCCTCACTGTCTGGGGACACAGCTGGGGCTGTCTTGGTCATTGCTGGGTCCCGAACATCATCCAACAGGCCCTTGGCACACAGGGTGCATATCTGCGTGAACTTCCTCCCTGGATAAAAGGGCTGGCTCTGTCATCGCTGCGTTCCCAGCCTGGTGGACACAGAGAGGACACTGAGGAAATACCTTCACTGATTCTAAGATGCATCTTCCCCTCCACATTTTAGCAATTCTAAATCAGGAAGAGTCACACTTGATGGCACCTTACAATTGCTGTCAGCCAGGCAGCCATTGTGACGTAGCTGTCACTGCCTGGAAGTGATAATGGAGCTGCTTTTAATAGCATCATTGGCGCCGCTGATGGCACGGAGGACACGTGGTGTGGCAAAGCGTACACGTCCACTCCTCGGAGGCAGAAGTGACTCCACAGAGTCAGGCCGTGTGGTTTTGGGAACAGCTTAGTCAATTTATTTCCCTTGTATCTTCCTAGTTCGATGCACACATGAGTGACATATGGTAAAAATGTGTATTTTCTAAGTCAGTCTACAAGCAGCTCTTTCAATAAGTGTACAATAAAAATTGTAAGTGATAAGGAAATATTGTGTCGTAGTTTTATTGGCAGCTTTTTTTTCCCTGTTGGTGGGACAGAAAAGGATGCGTCTGACAACCAGTGCGCCTTAGCCTTGACTCTACAGGGAACCCGTGGAAGGAAGGGTGAATAAACGTGCTCGCCTCATTTGTCTCTGTCTTCGTCTCTATTCCAGTCTCAGCTCCTGGGTTTTATGTCTGTCGTGGGATGACAGGTGGGTGAACCGAGGTCTCATCTGGGTTAAGTGAGCTATTCCATCTGAGGGCCCTCACACAGCGCCTGTGACATTGTAGATGCTCAGGAAGTGAACGCTGGGCCTGTGTGTGTGATCCTGCCAGTGTCCCCCCCCCATGAGGTCTATCAGAGCAGGAAGAAGTGTGAGTCACATCTCTGGACCGGCACGGGGACTGGCCTAGGGTCAGGGCTAAACAAATGTTTGTGGAATGACTAAATAACCGACTGAATTATCGGGCCAATGAAAGTCCTCTCTTAATTCGGGGTCTTGGCACAGGCTGGTCCCTTGGCCTGGGACGCGAGACTCCCTAGCAGGCCACTGACTCACTCCTGCTTGTCCTTCAGATCTCAGCTCAGGGGCGCCCTCCTTCAGGAAGGCCTCTCCGACCCCCAGCCTGGGTCAAGTGGCCCCTTTGTGCTCCCACAGCCTCCTGGGGTCCCCCGTCTCAGTCCTGCCTGCTCTGGTCACCACTGCCTGGGGATGGATCTGACTCCCTCATTGGACTCCGAGTCCTGCGAGGGCAGAACCCCGGGGCTGTCCTGGTCGTTGCTGTGTTCCCAGCAGTCAGCTCAAGACGGGGCCTGGAGAGGTGCCGAGTATGCAATGAGTGAAGAGGGCAGCGGAGGCTTGGCAGACAGGCAAGGGTGCAGCCTCTCTCTGGCTGGTGCTGAGGAGCTGGGAGAAGTGCCCCTGGAGCGTGGCAGCCTCATCGGACACATTTGCGCAGGTCTTGGCCCCCATCACCCCAGGCTGCAACCGTCTCTCTTTCCTCTGACCCGGAGCCCCCGAGGGCAGAGCCTGGGCCAATGTCCTTCTGTGGCCCGGGCTCTGGCTGGACTCATGGGTCAGGAGCCGGAGCAAAATTGAGAAGGGTCAGGAGTGGATGCGGTGGGTTTCGGTGATGCGGTCTGTCTGTGTTGTCTGCGTGTAATTGTGTCTCTCCTGGTCTGCAATCTGCATCCCTGAGCCGGTGTTGTTTGCGAGGCCCGTGTCCGTACGTTTGTTTGTTTGTTTTTCTGTAGCGACCCTGTATTTCCCTCTTGGGCCAGGTGTGCGTCTGTGGATTTGGGAGAGGAGTCTTGGTCTGAGTGTTTGGTGTCTGGGGGTGTCTGGGAATATTCTGTAATCTTGGTCTTTGTGCGTTGTGTCAGCAATGAGGATGTGAATGAGTCTGTGCGGCTGCCGGTCTGTGTCTCTCTCTTGCCCGTGGTTTAAGGATTCTGGACTGTGGTCAGCAGACCACTCCCTCCCTGACTCTCGGTGTGGCCTGCGCTAGTCTATTCCCTTTCTGGCCTCCACCTCCTCCTCAGTTGTTTCTGGAGGCCCCCTTCCAGAACCACCTTGAGAGCATCAGGAAAACCCTTTGAGTACCAGGGGCCTCTGGCTCCATCCAGGAAGTGGGGGTGGGGGAGGCTGGGCAACCGGCCTGGGCAGAGAGGAGGCCAGCAGGGGAGGCAGGGTGGGGACAATTCCAAAGGACTAGCGGGTCGAGGGGAGGCTTGGAAGCTGCAGAGACGGAGGCTGGAGTTGGGGGGAACCGGGGTGTCCCTCAGTGGGCTGGGGTCCTGGGTGTCTTGGTCTCTAGACCTTCAGCTCCTTCCCAGCCTGTGTCCTGGTCCCCGCCCCTGGATCCCTGTCTCTCAGGCTCTGCATCTCTTCATTGTTTCTCTTGCTGGTGCCTCTGCCGTCTTTCTCTCGGACTGGGTTTCTCGTCCACTCCCTCTTCCTGCCTCTTCCTGTGCTTTCTTGGGGAGTCTCTTTCCCCATCCCAACTCTCCCTCTTTTCTCATTCACATCTCTGCCAGCTTCCATCCCCCTCTGTCACACTCATGCCGTTTTAAGTGGTTGTGGGGGAGCAGAGGAGGGAGAGAGCAGAACGGAGAGAGACGGGACAGAAGAGTTGGCACCTGAGCTGGGGTCGGAAGGACGGGCTGGGGGTGGGCAGGCGAGGACGCTGCCGGGGCCGGGCAGGGTGGCACTGGCGGTGACCACGTTGGTGGTTTCACACCTGGCCTCTCTGGGGGGTCTCCTCTCCTCCCAGCCGGTGCTGGCTGAGCTGAACCGCCACCCACAGAGCACGTGCAATGCATTGTGAGGCGGGCAGGCGAGTAGATGGGGCAGAGAAGGGCACTCCAATGGCATGTTTGGGAAACTGAGGCCACCGGAGGGAGGAGAAATAGAGGGTGGGTTGTGAGCAGGGCCAGGCCCTCAGACGCCAGGCTGCCGACCTGGGACTTTGTCCTGGGGACAATGGAGACCACGGACGGGTTTTGAACAGGCCTTGGTGTTAGAAAGACGGCTCTGGGTCCCTGGTGGGGGACGGAGGGCCCCGTGTGACGGAGTGGTGGTGGAGTGGTGGCCCCCGGAGCAGCTGAGGGGTGGGGTCCCTGCCCCACGTGGGACCCCGCCCCCTGACGTCACTGTCCCATTATTGCACCAGGGCTGGCTGACCAATAAGCTGCTGCTTGTTATTATAATGGGTCCTAGCAACGGGGGTACGCCCTTGGGCTAACAGGGGAGGAGCCCCCACCAGTGGGGAAAGTGTGAGGGGAGAGGGAGAGCCTGCAGGCAGGTGAGTTACCTGAGGGCAGCGCTCTGCAGCTGGGCACCGCTGAGGGGCGGAGGTGGGGGGGGGGGGCAGGGGGGACGGGGGGCGGGGGGAGCTTCCAGGCCCACTCCCAGCTCCCCTGCCCGAATTCCACCCCAGGGCCACTCACCTGTTTGCCCCTTGCTGCTGGGACCCGGCCCAGGCTCCCACTCCCCTCCCCCCGGGCCACACCCTGAGATGGGTTGGGGGACAGGGCGCATGAGGGACTGGGTATAGCACGGGGACACCCCCACCCGGGATGGGGCTCAGAGCTGGTGGAACGACATCAGAACAGATTTCTGTGGAGGGGCAGGGGGCGAGGACAGGGGCCGCCAAGGAGACAGGGAGGCACAGACAGGTGCCTGAAGGGAGTCAGCTCTTCAGAGGGCGAAGGAGCCCAGGGACCTGGGTTTGAGTCCTGGCTGTGCCTCTGAGCGGGGGCGTCACTGATCTAGCCTGAGCCTCAGTCCCTCTCCGACCTGTGGGGACAGGCCCCGACGTGAGCGTCTCTCCCAGGGTTCTCTGGAGAGTCTTAGTCCGGGAGGAAGTGTATTTTAGAGGCAAGGGACGAGAAGAGAGTGTGATGGGAAGAGCGAGGGCCAGGGAGGCTCCGAGGCGAGGAGAGTGGGATCTGAGGCGAGACCTTGGGGACAGGCTCCAGGAGGCGGGAGGGGACCTGGCCAGCCACGGCAGGACTGGGTGTAGAATGAGAAGCACTCCCAGTGTCCGGGCACTCCCCGGTCAGCGGGACCCAAGAATGTCTTCAAAGTTGGCCTAGGGACAGACAGGGGATCACATTTGTCACAGCAGCCCTGCTTGGTGGCAGGGTTGTCGTCCACGCAGATGAGGCAGCTGAGGCTCAGAAAGGGCAAGGACTTGCTCAAAGTCACACAGCTAGGAATATTAAGAATGATGGTGATGATGCTGATAACACAGACCACCTGCTCTGTGCCAGGCACTATTTAAGAGCTTTCTGTGGCTTAACTCACTTAATTCTCAAAAGCCCAGGAGGTGGTCTGCTATTATTATAGCTATTACCCCCCGTCTTACAGATGAGGAAAGTGAGGCAGAGAGTGAAGCAACCTGCCCCAGGTCACTCGGCGAGTGGCGAGTGGTGAGCGTGTGGCGGGGCCAGGATCTGACCCCAGGGCTGGGCCCTGTCACCATCACTCACTTCCCGCTGCTCCCAGTAACCACAGCAGCAGGAGTGCAGCCACTCGCTCTGCTCGGGCCCAGGAGCTGGGCCTACGCCCTTTCCTTTGTAGGCCCAATATAAGACGAAAACGCGGGGCCCCTGGTTCAAAGATTACTAAGAATTTCAGTCCGTGTCAGCAGATCAGCATTTAGCCAAGAGCTGGGCCTTCTGTGCGTGGTCACAAGCTGCCCACGAACCCAGCCCCATTTCTAGGTTATCCCGAAGACTCCTCAGCACCTCAGGAAGCAGGTCAGTCATTATGCCCGTTACCCAGAGAAGCAAACAGGCTCAGAGAGGTGCCTCATTTTCCTCCAGGTCACACAGCAAGTTAGTGGCAGAGAGAGGATGTGAACCTGGGCCTATAAGACTCCAAAGCCGCCAACTTGTGTCAAAAACATACCCCAGGTTTTTGAGAAGGAGAGGGCTGTGGGTTTCCAGAGGGACTTCCCTTACATCCTTGGTGTGTCTCTCTCCCTGCCCCGTGCCAAGGCCCAGGAGGCGTGGACGGCTCCCTTCTCCCCTGCAGACGCAGAGGATCACGCGGCCGGTGACTCTCCCCATCCCCCGCGCCCTCTGAACCGCTGGTCACCATGGCTACTTCGAAGTTGCCAGCTGTGCCCAGGGAGGAGGAGACCACCATCCTCATGGCCAAGGAAGAGCTGGAGGCCCTGCGCACGGCCTTCGAGTCGGGCGACATCCCCCAGGCTGCCTCTCGCCTCCGGGAGCTGCTGGCCTCCTCGGAGAGCACCCGCCTGGAGGTGGGCGTCACGGGCGAGTCGGGCGCCGGCAAGTCGTCCCTCATCAACGCCCTCCGGGGCCTGGGGGCCGAGGACCCTGGCGCGGCTCTCACGGGCGTCGTGGAGACCACAATGCACCCCTCGCCCTACCCGCACCCGCAGTTCCCCGATGTGACGCTGTGGGACCTGCCGGGGGCCGGCTCCCCGGGCTGCCCGGCAGACAAGTACCTGAAGCAGGTGGACTTCGGCCGCTACGACTTCTTCCTGCTGGTGTCCCCGCGCCGCTGCGGGGCCGTGGAGACCCGCCTGGCCTCCGAAATCCTGCGCCAGGGCAAGAAGTTCTACTTCGTGCGCACCAAGGTGGACGAGGACCTGGCGGCCACCCGCACCCAGCGGCCCTCGGGCTTCAGCGAGGCCGCCGTCCTGCAGGAGATCCGCGAGCACTGTGCCGAGCGGCTGCGGGTGGCCGGGGTGACCGACCCCCGCATCTTCCTCGTGTCCAACCTCTCACCTGTCCGCTACGACTTCCCTCTGCTCGTGTCCACCTGGGAGCACGACCTGCCCGCGCACCGGCGCCACGCCGGCCTGCTGTCGCTGCCCGACATCTCATTGGAGGCCCTGCAGAAGAAGAAAGACATGCTCCAGGAGCAGGTGCTCAAGACGGCCCTGGTGTCGGGCGTCATCCAGGCCCTGCCCGTGCCCGGGCTGGCGGCCGCCTACGACGACGCCCTGCTCATCCGCTCGCTGCGCGGCTACCACCGCAGCTTCGGCCTGGACGACGACTCGCTGGCCAAGCTGGCCGAGCAGGTGGGCAAGCAGGCCGGCGACCTGCGCTCGGTCATCCGCTCGCCGCTGGCCAGCGAGCTCTCCCCTGAGACCGTCCTGCGGCTCTACTCACGCTCGTCCGACGGCGCCATGAGGGTGGCCCGCGCCTTTGAGAAGGGCATCCCCGTGTTTGGGACGCTGGTGGCCGGCGGCATCAGCTTCGGCACCGTCTACACCATGCTCCAGGGCTGCCTCAACGAGATGGCCGAGGACGCCCAGCGGGTCCGCATCAAGGCCCTGGAGGAGGACGAGCCGCAGTCGGAGGTCAGCTTGGAGGCGGCGGGTGACAATGGAGTGGAAAAGCGGGCGTCCGGGGAAGGAGTCAGCGAGGAAGCCCCGCTCTCGGCCCGCAGGAAGCTCGGCCTCCTCCTCAAGTACATTCTCGAGAGCTGGAAGAAGCGTGACTTGTCGGAAGAGAAGTAAAGTGCAGCCCCCACCCCCTGCCTCACCCACAAACCAAGCCTTAACAAAACCACCCAAACAAAAACGGCTGATGTGGTGACGATGAGAGCTGTTGTGTGCGGAGGGGCGTGCTCTGAGGGAGGCAGGTGGGCCCAGGTCGGACAGGGACAGACTGAACTGGGGAGGGACTGATCTTGGGGGCAGAGGTTCAAGGGGATGGATGGTGGCCTGAGCGCTCCTGGGTGGTGTCTCTCTCCCTGGTCTCCAAGTGACCACGGGGGATTTGTAGGGTGATGGGACAACCCAGCCGAGATCCAAGACAGGAGCCAAGTGTCAACCTAGGTGGGGGTCTGAGTGGGGCTTGGGGCATGCTAAGGTACTTCTTTTAGTTGCAATGTCATGTCGTCCCAAAGGCCTCCTCTGGAGTGGGGTGGGGCGGCCAATTGGTGCCCAGGATGGGCACAATGGTGCTTAGCAACTGAGTTAAACAGAGCGGGGGAGCCTGGGCATCCTGGGCCGGTCCTGCAGCCAAGGAGTGATGGTGGGGTGGGCGGCAGGGAGAGGGGAGGACGGATGGCAGCGGGGCTGGCCTCCGCGCGGAGCCTGGGAAGACAGAATGAGAGCAGAGGCGGTGGGAGGGCGGCGGCGGTCTCCCTGAGCATCACAGGAGAGGGGAGGCAGAGGGCGCAGCTCGGCCACCAAGCACAGTCGCTTCAGAAAGGCGGCAGGTGGGTCTGAGCGTGGATGGGCGTGGCAGTAAGCTTGCTGGTGCGTCCATGATGGGAAGGATCTCGCTAAGTCTCGTGATTCCCATGCTGTGGGCTAAGGTTGGGAGGAGTTGCCGAGACGGGGTGACCTGTGCGTCTCTGCATGGGTGTGTGGGTGTGAACATTGGGATGGTGCTGACAGGCCGCGGGTCTCAGAGTGAGGGTGACTGTGCTAGGATCTCTGAAAGCTGAAGGAAGCTGCGAGCGACAGTTTGTGCAACACACTGGGGGAGGGCATGGGCGTCTGGCCCAGGCGTCCCTGTGAACCAAACTGCTCAGTGCTTCCTGTCGCTCTGCACTCGGCTGGCCGGTGGAGATGCAAGAGCGAAGCTGACACTGCTCAAGCAGAAACTCTCACGCTCGGTCAAGATCACACACATTTACAAAAGGGAAGAACTACCAGACTGGGGGGTCTGGGCGGGAAGGCTGCTGCCGCGGCTTCTGTGGCTGGCACGAGGGTCAGAGGAAGGTTGGATTTAAGTGCAGGGAAGGGCGAGTTTCTAAGAATTTACAAAAAGGATCTCGTGATGGTTCCAGCCTCATTGTGAGGCCTCAGGTGACCCCCAACCCTGGGAAACGTTCCAGACTAAGAGGGTCCGCCTTTACCTGGAGGATTAAACGGGGTGCCGGTGCTCCTGGCTGAAGAGCTCTGTGCTTTGCAGGAGGACTCCTCTCTTTCCGGACCCGCATCGGCTCTGCCAGGACTACTGGGGTTCACATGGACTCTTCTGCAGCAAAAGGGGTGGCGGGGATCATGGTAGGGAAATCTCAGGTCCTCAGATGCACAGGACAGATGGTCCCTTCCAAACCCATTCACAGGGGACACAGCCCACACCCCCACCCCTGTGGAGCCGTAGTCATCATCCTAAATGCAGGACTCACCAGCCCCGAGGGGCTGGGATGGAAAGCTCACGCGAGACTAGCTCGTGGGCCTAAAGTGGAGATGGAATGGCTTTCTTTTGTCTCCTCTCTCCAACTGGTGGCCTTGTCCCATCCCTTCTGCCTCCATCTCTCCCTTCACTGTCCGCCATCGTGACCCCCTCGACCCCTCTTTCAGCTCAGGCCTCGCTCTCTTCACCCAGTTCCTGCCCCAGCCCCTTGCCCCATCTCCCAGGCTCCAGTCTCATTCCCTGTAAGGCCACAGAGGGCTCTTTCTAAGCCGACCTCTCCCTTCCCTGCTCAAACCCCTTCCATGGTACCCACAGATGAAGATCAAGCTCAGCCTGACGATTCCAGCCCTTCCCAAGCCAGCCTCTGCCTAAACCTCATTGACAGTAAGACCCTGAATCTTTGCAAAACAGCAGAGCTGGGGGCTCTGAGGAGTCCTCTCTCCATTTCATAGGTGAGGAATCTGACACCGCCACCCCTTGCACGGGGGCGGAGGGTGGGGGGCGGCCAGCCCGGTGGCGCAGCAGTTAAGTTTGCACATTCCGCTTCAGCGGCCCGGGGTTCACTGGTTCGGATCCCGGGTGCAGACATGGCACCGCTTGGCAAGCCATGCTGTGGTAGGCGTCCCACATATAAAGTAGAGGAAGATGGGCATGAATGTTAGCTCAGGGCCAGTCTTCCTCAGCAAAAAGAGGATCATTGGCAGTAGATGTTAGCTCAGGGCTAATCTTCCTCCAAAAAAAAAAAAAGACTGCACAGGGACACGACTAGCCTGGTGTCAAACTGCAAGTCCCCAGCATGACTGGGACTAGATGCAGCCATGCAACCCCAGGATGTCTGCGCTGGCCGCCCCTGTCCATGATACCAGGGAGGACTCTGAGGCCCAGAGGCGGGACAGGGCTGGCGTAGGTGCGCACTGCAGTTCCCGAGCAGATGCAGGAGCTCAGAGGCCAGGCAGCGAGGGTGGGCAATGCTTCCACAAATGCCCCAGGCCCACGGCTCTGTCTTCCTGGTGCTAGAACTGTGGTATCCGTTGGGGTCTTCGCACACCGTGAGAGGGTGCTCAATTGTGCAAGGAGTGGGTGGTTTACACGGCAGAAGGGTCCGCGGGAGCTGGCTCACGTCCTGGCTCTGGTGCAGGCTGTAAGACATTCAGCAAGTGACCTTTACCTCCCTGAGCCTCAGTTTCCTCTTCTGCAAAATGGGGACTAAAGGTTAGGAGAGTGGCTGGCCCGGGGTAAACCTTAAATAACCATTACTCTCAGCGATGGTGAGGGTTCCAGCTCCTAAGCACTGCTTTGAATTGCTGACCACAGTGCCTGGTGCGTGGTGCATGCCCAAAAGAGTTATTCAAGAATTTGAGTGGGCTGGGCCGGGGGCTGAGCGGTTGGGTTTGTGCGCTCTGCTTGGGCGGTCCAGGGTTTTGCTGGTTTGGATCCTGGGCGTGGACATGGCACCGCTCATCAGGCCATGCTGAGGCGGCGTCCCACACGCCACAACTAGAAGGACCCACAACTAAAAATATACAACTACACACTGGGAGGCTTTAGGGAGAAGGAAAAAAAAAGATTGGCAACAGATGTTAGCTCAAGTGCCAATCAAGAAAAACAACTTGAATTCTAGGATCAGAAAACCTCAGTCCCATTTCCAACAGCCCACGCACTAGCTGGGGGCCTTGGGCAAGTGACTTACCCTCTCGGTGCCAAATGTGGAGACAAAAAATATCCTTTTCTGGGCTGTTACGGGGATTTTATGAGATATTCCAGTGATGAATAAAATAAAGTTCACTAAAATAAAGCATTTGGCGCCAGGCCTGGCATATGGTTACCCTCCTCTGCTGAGGGATGTGGAGAAGAGAGGGCAGCTCAGTTTGAAATACTCCCTTACCTGTCCTGTCAATGGTCATCAGGTCCTGGAGATGGAGAACCAGGGCCAGGCAGCCCATGGCAGGCAGTCTTCCAACGCAGCCTCAGCCAGGCCAGGGTATCGGAGCTGCTCAGGGACACTGGGGCTCTCAAGGAGGCCTTTGAGGCGGGGAGCCTGCCAGCAGTAGCCGCCACGTTGCAGGCCACACTTCATTTGCTGGAGAATGTCAGGCCGGACATTGGCATTCCCGGGGGGACAGGTTCAGGCAAGGTGACCTTTGTCAACGCCATCTGGGGGCTGGGAGATGAGGACCCGAACTCAGCCTGCAAGGGCATGGTGGGGATGACCGTGGACCCCACGCCATACCCGCACCCCAAGTACCCCAACGTCATCATCTGGGACCTGCCGGGCATAGGCACACCCACCTTCCAGGCTGACATACCTCCAGTGGGCGCTGCTGGACCATTACGACTTCATCATCATCATGGTGACGTCAGAGCGCTTCACGGCCAACCAAGCCCGGCTGACCTGCGAGATCCTGCAATGAGGCAAGCGCCCCTACTTCATCCGCTCCAAGGTGGATGTGGACGTTGCTGCCTGGAGCACCGCCACCCAGTGCCTTCTTTGGGGAGAGTGCGCTCAGCCAGATCTGGGACAACTGTGGGCAGCACCCAGTGGGTGAGGCGCAGGCTCTGGGGGGGGTGGGTGGGTGGACCCTTGAGGGATTGCCCACCCCTTCCCCTTCATCTTCTAGTTGAGGCCTGGAGTGGGAAGAGGGGTCGCCCAAAGTCACACTGCACGACTGAACTAGGCCCCACAGTGACAGAGGTTTACAGCTGCCATTTCCTGAGAGCTGGCACTTCTCAGTGACAGAGACTAGCCACTTGCATTAAGGAAAAAAGGCTGTGTATTAGCTGGTGCATTGGCACCCGTCGCTGACAGCAGCCAACATTTACTAAGGGCTCACCGCAGGCCAGGCACCATTTCCAGGAACTCAGTTCACCACTCAAGGAGGTGGGTACAATGATCGCCTTATTTCCCAGGTGAGAAAATGGAAGCCCAGAGAGGTTTGGTAACTTGTCCACGGCCACACTGGTGGTAGGTAGCAGGCTGGGATGCGAACTCAGGCAGCCTGGCTCCAGGGCCACACTCTTAAGCTACATGCTGTGCCGACTCCTGGCCAGGGCTTGAGCCCAGGCAGCTGTCAGGACACCTTGGCCTGCTCCGGGCTGAAAGGCGCTCTTGTCTCCTGCAGTGGAGGGCCTGAGGGATCCCCGGGTCTTCCTGCTCTGCGTGATTGATTTGAGCAAGGATGACTTCCACCTGCTGCAGGAGTCGGTGGTGAAGGAACTAGAGAGCCATAAGCGGCACGCCTTCCTGGTGGCCCCGCCCAGCACCTCAAAGCCCGTACTAGCGAAGGAGGCCTCACCACTGGGGCACATCTGGCTGGTGGCCACGGTGGCCTGTGGTGTCAACTTGAGTCCCATGTTGGGCGCCCAGGATATGGGGTGTGACCTACACATGCTCATCCACTCCCTGGAAGGCTGCCGCCACAGCTTCGGCCTGGACGACTGCCCGGT